TCGATTGTGCTCGGCAGTGATGATTTCTAACTGCTCGTTTTTGTCCGTTATATCTTGCACAAGATTTTTGCAATGCCAGAATTGGGTAGCAGGGAAATACAAAATCAGGTCGTGTTGGAAACTTGCCAACGTGGGAAGATCGCAATGTATTGCATTAACGACTCCAGAATTCACAACTTCTTTGAGGGTTTTGAGAATTGAGCTCTTGTCAGTGTAACTGATCAAGTGGCGTGTTTTGCTGCGAAACAGCAACAAGTTTCGCTTTAGCGGAAAACGCGATTCCTCTAGGACAATCTGGTTCCTAAAGCAATTCAAAGGTTTGTCTGTTGTCTCGACCGTGTAGGTCAGGGAAAGTTCGCTGTGAACGGTTGCAGCGTCCGAACGGGGCCCATCTTGCAGAGCATTAATGTTTTGCCTTGAAAGGGCATCCGCCACCAGATTCTCTTTGCCCGGTTTATAAAACATTTTGGCATTGTGCTGGTCAATGTAAGATTTCCATCTTTTAATCTTGGAATTCGTGTTCTTGTCCGACACAGCGAACGTGAGCGGCTGGTGGTCCGTGAAAATGTTAATTTCCCTAGAACCGTACAGAAAGTTCTGCAATCTGCCTAAAGCCCACACAATGGCCAGCAATTCTCTTTCGTTAGTGGCATAGTTTTGTTCGGCCTGTTTTAAGGCGCGAGAAATCATTGTTATTGGCCTATTGCCTTGGGAAAGAACCGCGCCAATTCCACTGGCCGAAGCATCAGTGGTTAAATCGAACGGTTTCTGGAAGTTTGGATACATTAACATGACGTCTTCTGATGCCAAAATACTCCGCAGACGGTGAAATGCATCGCGTTGAACTTCATTAAATTCAACAGGGATTTTCTTTGATACGTGCCTACTAACTGAACCATTTTCCCCTTTAAGTATGTCCGATATCGGACGCGCTATAGCGGCAAAGTCCTTAATAAAGACCCTATAGTAGTTGGCTAACCCCAAGAAGGACCTAACGCTGTAGACATTCTTTGGTTCAGGGAATTCCTGAATGGCTTTAACTTTTTTGGGGTCGGATGTTGCTCCGTCTTTGGTTACAATGAAACCCAGGAATTCGATACTTTCCTTGAAGAAACGAGTCTTTTCGGGGCCTACACGCATGTTTGCGTCGATTAGACATTTTAACACAATGTTAATGTGTTGAAGGTGCTCCGTTTCGTTTTTAGAAAAAATTATGACGTCGTCTACATAGACAAAGCAAATCTTTCCTATATGTTCCCTCAGGATATCGTCTATTGCCCTTTGGAATATGCTGCTTGCATTGCGCAGGCCGAATGGTAGGCGACAGAACTCGTACTTGCCGCTGCTTACTGAAAATGAAGTCTTTTCGCGGTCATGCTCCGCAAGGTAAATTTGATGGTACCCCGACTTTAGGTCGAGGGTAGTGAAGTATTTTGCCTTTCCTAGATTTGCTAAGATCATGGGGATGCTCGGCATGGGGTAGCGGTCCGGTATGGTTTTTTCGTTCAGTTTCCTGAAGTCGATTACCAACCTTTTTTTTGGGTTACCGTATGAGTCAGTGCCTTTTTTATCAACCACCCATGTTGGGCTGTTGTAAGGCGATCTGGAGGGCCTGATTATGCCATCGTCCAGTAATTGTTTGACTTCTTTGTTTATGAAGTCAGAAACACCCATGAGACTCGGGTATCTTGAATACACAGGCTCGTTGTCTACTGTTCGGATTGTAGCGATAACAGCAGTATTAAAAGGGAGAGCTTCGTCTGCATTTGAGAAGGCTCTTTTGTTTCTGAGTATCATGTCCCTGAACTCTTTCTTTACGGAAGGGGGGACTACGATGTCGTTGACATCGGTGAAGTTCACATCAGCACATTGATAGTACTGGAGTTTTTCGGATGTACTCTGGTATTCCAGAGTGTTTTTTGCCAAGTTCAATTTGACTCCGGCTTGTGTTAGCAAGTCGAAGCCTATGATGGCGTCGAAAGAACTTAGGGTATCGAGGAGAAAAAACGGGGAGGTATGTTGGAAAATGTTCATCAAGCATTTGCGCTTGATTTCGGTAGACCCGTGGATCGAGTTTACCGAGAATGACTTGGCGACCGGCGTTATGGTCTTTAGCTCTGTTAAGGGCTTCACATAATTTTTTGCCGCGCCAGTGTCAATCAACATCTTCAGAGTTCTCCCAGCCAACCGTCGTTCAATGTACGGAAGCCGGGAGTGTTCCCTAAAAAATTAATCGAGTCGTCACCAGGTGCGTACTCGTTCTCACTCTCTAGTTCTTCAACTGCCTCTTTGGCCGCCTTCTCGAATTCTGTTACGGCTTCTTTGGAATCTGATTGTACGACATTGTTAACGCGTTGTCGTCTTTGACCTGTTGAACGGTCTGACGAATTCTTGCGTTTTGGTGCGTTGGACTCATTAGCCTGACGCTTGCTGTAGTCGGTTTTTTGTCTAAATCTGGAGGAAGAGTCAACTTCCATGGGCTGTGGAGCCTCAGTTTGATTATCTTTAGGGGCCTGGGGCTGGGGACCGCCCTTTTGGCGTTTCACAAAATGGGGATTTCTCTCCTGATTTTGCTCATCTTTGTTAAATCTGGTTTGCTTGCCTTGGGCACGGTTTTTGTTACTTTCAGCAATTTGCGCTCGGTCTTGCAAGGCTTTAGCGTAAGAGTTCGCGAACATGCTTCTCTCAATGCTAGCTTCTGCCTCTCTGGCAAGGGCCAGAGCGGATGGTAGATCTTTTGGTTGTGCAGGGAACACAACCGCTCTCAACGGCTTCCTAAGACCGGAGATAAAGGCGTGCAAGGCGTCGTCTCTGACCTCCCGGTTGAGCAAATCCGCGCCTTCTTGGTCGTGAGACATTACAATTTTGTTAGTTACGAGCGTGAGTTTCTTTTCGACGTCATCGTAGTATTGCATCAGGGACATTTCGCCCTGCGTAACTAACTCCAAACATTGTCTCAGCAAGCGCAAGGATGTTTTGTCCGAGTATGTGCAATCTAGCCTAGCTAGTATTGCATCGAAATTTAGGACAGTGTTGTGAGACACTAGTAAGGCTCCAGCTGGGCCTTTGATTTTGTTCCTAATGATCGCTACCGCTTGGTAGTGTGCAGTGCTCTTTGGATAGTTCTTGAATAGTTCGTACGCGTAGATGGCTGCTTGCCTCCACGCTACATACTCATCCTGTACGCCGGAGAAATCCGGCACAGATTTAATAATGTCCAAGGGAATATCGCATTTGGCGTTTGGATCGACGGATATTTTCTCGTATGTGACGATTTGCGGCGCCTCCACCTGCAAACTCTGTACTTGTGAAGCTAAAGCGGTTATTTGTGCTTGAAACTGATTTTGTTGTTGCGCTAAAGCTTGCCTGATGGCACCCTCAATGAGATTCTGAACTTGAGCCGGCTCCATTTCTTCAGTTACAACGGTATCTGCAGGAGTAGGATCTACTGAGCAATTGATTTCCCCCTCCCAGCTATCGTCACTATTATATTCGACTTTTATCTCCCTATAATTCCAACTCATTGGCTTATGGTTGGCACTTTTCAAACTTAGGCCGATCGAGAAAGATCGGCAGGTAACGCTGTTGGCAATAGTGGAAACTGGTGAATCTTGGGGTATGCAATATTTATTATAAAAAATTGTTAGGGGTATGCAGCAAAAAATGTAATGCTGCCGAAAGTATGCAATAATTATTCGTTTAAGGTATGCAATGCTTTATTGACAAGGAACGCTGGTAAAAGTATGCAACAGTTTTTAGTGAAAGTATGCAATGATTTAAAGGAATGAAATGCTGGCAGAAGAGAGCAGCAATATTTACTTTACTTTACAATTTTTTTTTTTTTTTTTTTTTTTTTTTTTTTTTTTTTTTTTAAAAATCACACGTATCGGTACGTGGCGTTCGAGAATAATTTCTTCAAACTGAAATCACTTATGAACTTACATGGTATGGGTTCCTATTTATTGGTTGGGCGCCAGTTATTCATTAATGTATGTTCTGCGATGTAACACAATGTTATCTTGGGTAAGTTGCGTTGATCCCGCGCTGCCCTTGATCAAAATATGTTCTCCTTGATCCAGTAATATTACGAAAGATATGTTTTATCGGCAATGCCGGAGCAGTATATTTATTTCGGCGACTTATGTGTTGCGCGCTTCATATAAAACTAAAAACTAGGGGACAAGCAAATTATACAAATACCCTAAGCCTCAATGCATCACGCCATCAAAGCATGGTCGGCAAGCCGACTCAGCATTCCATGCAGTGTCAGCTTACCGCTGCTGGCCGTTCTTAGCGCAGAGCGCTGAACTCAGTTCTGGCGCGTCAGCATTGTTAATACGAAGCTACTTAATTGCTAGGGCAATATATTTATGCTTAGTTGTTAACTTATATACTGCGTTTATAACTTCTAATCAGTATAAGCGGGAGTTCACACGAATCAAGCATGCGGTCATATAGTTAAATATTTGTAAAAAACTGAATATCAAGGGTCAGACTTGAAATTTGCATTCACATGAGTTTCTGTTTCCTGTCTAAAAACAAAACCAAACTGGATTTCTTAATGAAATCTATTTGGATTCTACAGCAACACATGTGAAGGAAAAATGTAATTTATTTTTTTTTTCAAATTGATTTCAAGTAAATTTTGTGAAATATATTTGTACGATCAGTTGGTATGTGAACAAATCGCTATTATTGATTAGAAATTTTTTAAATGACTAAATCTGCAAAGGAAATAATTTAAAATATGTAACCAGTCTTTGGTTTTTGAATGGATCACATTGATATTTGTGCAGATTTTTGCATTTGAAAAATTTTTTAAATTCAAATAAGGAACTTCGTATAAACGGACTATATGTGTAAGGTAAAATTTGATAAATTTACATTGTATTTTAAACCAATTTTGTTGTTCAGTTTTTTTTTATACGCTCTGTCTCCCATTCATGTTTCTCATCCTGCATGTTTTACCAATGTATACTAATTGAAATTCTAAAATGTAGGACTTGAACGTTAGCCCCGATGAGAGCACCGCCCAGAAGTTACTGGTTGATCGCGACGAAGAGCCCGATAAATAAGGGGAAAGTTCCAGTCATACAAATGCAATCACAATAAATTCCGAAGATTTATATCAGCGATTAATCGGCATAAAGCAAAACTGTTAAGGTAAGTTTTGAGTGTAAAATTCACGATAATTATCACAAAATTAACATTTCGTCTTTTTTGTCTTTTCTAGATTCAATAATGTTCATCTTGTTATATAAAAGACTGAACAAAATGGGTCATTATTTAATTGTTGACACTTAGAAGTAACTTGTCGTCATATATCGATGCCGATCTATCAAATCAAATATTCATTAGGTCTAATTTTAAAGCTCAAAGCGTATTCAATGTGTTCGAAAACTAAGTAAAATTTGATGTACTATAAACTAGGATCCAAATTTTATTGTACGCTTAATACAAATTTGTAATTGAACATTGTTTACGAAACCGGATGTAAGATCTTTTGATTTTGGTTAAAATGGGTCAAATATTGTAATCGTTTTTTTTTCTTCTGCAAATGTATGTAAACTGTTGACGCAAACTGGATAAAGTATGTACATAAATATGTACTTGTGTAGTTATTCAGCAAACGGCTTGCTATTTGGAATGTTGAACCTCATCAAGAGCTCACACATCACCACGGAATCGATTCGTTTTTGACCATAGATTTAAAATGATTTATTTTTGGGAAAACTCCTACAAAATTAACAAAATATACTTTTAGAGGTATACCTAATTAAATAGCTGCAAACGAGAACAGATTTCTAAAAGAAAAGAGGCACATCAGCTGTATAACATGATTAACGTATTTATGGAGATGTATGATGAGGATTATGCATCCGCTAATATTCGAATTTTTCTTAGAGCATCTCGGTGCTGAGTACCGGTACATTCCGAATTGTACACGAACTTGTTTTCTATTTGGAACTAGACGTTCACTCTATTGAACATTTAACTAATCTACTGTTGAAACTGACAAAAACTCCAATGGGATGCACCGATTGGCAGGAGTTCTATATGAACTAATTAAGAACTTTTTCATTGTTTGGAACAAGTGCTCAATCAGATTATTAATTCCACTTGCTAGTAAGCTTTTAAGAATGTTTTCAAGAGTCGATATTTCCATCCCTAGAATTTACGATGCGACATTTCTGTAAACAATTTGCTTCTCGGAAAAGCCAACGGCAGTTTCTCCTAGAGCAGAATCGTGCTCACTGTAAGTAAAACCGAGCATTATCATGTGTCATGTTAACAGACGAGCGAAGAGACTTCGTCAAAGCCGAGTCGAGTGACAACTCTGCTTCTCTGATTTCAAACTTCATTCCGACATTTGCGACGGTCAGCATCATTTGTGTGGAAGTCTAACATATAGTCATGAATAATTTACCAGCTAATTCGGGACATTCACGTGGACGTGGACGCGGTAATAAGCGCAATGAAGAATTGAGTCAAAGACAGGGGCCTCAGTTGGTATGTAGTGCAAAAATGGTGCATAAATTTTACTTGCTAAAAATGTAATTGTGTACATGCATGGACAAAACAGGCAGATTTCAAACCACATATGTACATATACATACATACATGTAGGTACGCTTATGAAATTACTACTGCATCCTAAGGCTTGTATGTATGTGTGTATAGTTTTTCAAGGCCATTAAGGTTTGCTTGCATTAAATTTCTGTGTGTTCATTTGATAACGGAAACGGAGAATGATATTGTACAAAATGCGAAAATAAGAGAAACTATTTATCAGAAAGGTTTGCAAAGAGATTCAAAGATGTTGCGAAAAAGACGCTTGCGAGCAATGGTCGATATGGAAAAGTAACGGCAATTCTTTGTTCTCATTACGCATGTATTCACGCTTTAATTGCACATGCGTGCGCTGCCCACAATGTAAACGATTTCGTAGTTTGAAAGAAAAGCGTGCGACTACCTTAAAAGAAATAAATTTGAAGACTGGATAAGTACAGTTGTTGGGTGTACTGAAGTTCAAATACCCTTGAAACAGTTGACAGCTTATAATATTCTTATATATTTGCACATTTTTTAATATGTGAGCTCTAATTCACTTTAGGGTCAACCTGCGCAAACGTCTGCCCCGCGGCAGCCGCCAGTTCGCACTGAATCCGAATCGAGTGGCCAACAGGAGCAGACAAGAAAACCCGCAGATCTGGGGTCGGCAGAATGTGCTGAGGGTAAGATAGTATTTGATCGACAAATAGAACAGCATTTTTACAGATTTCTTCTATGTGAACAGGTGATGCCCGTGGCTCGGTTCGAGGACGCCGTGTACTTACCGACGTGGTGCATTCTCGACCTTCTGGACTAATTACTAAGGCAGGATTTACAGGCCGCAAAATAACTGTGCAAACTAATTACTATAAAGTGCAAAAGCGCCCCAACTGGACCATTTATCAGTATCGTGTAGACTTCTCTCCAGATGTCGATAACACGAGGCTGCGTCGTGGCTTACTAAGCGAGCACCGCCAGCTCTTGGGTGGCTACATATTTGACGGAACGGTTTTGTTTTGCACCACCAAGTTTAAGGAAGACACTTTGGAGTTAGTGACTGAAAGTCGGGCTGGTGAAAAAATACAGATAAAGATAAAAAGTGTCGGCACCGTTGAGGCAGCCGACAATCAACAGTTTCAAGTACTTAATCTGATCCTTCGCCGTGCCCTGGAGGGACTTCAGCTTCAATTGGTATCACGTAATTTCTTTGATCCACAAGCAAAGGTAAAACTGAGTTGGCAAAGGAGCTCTAATAGCGCTTAACAATCTTGCTTATACATATTTTCAATGCTAGGTTATCCTAGATCGCTTCCGCGTAGAGCTATGGCCCGGCTATACAACATCAATTCGTCAACACGAATCGGACATTCTGTTATGCACGGAGATTGCCCACAAGGTGATGAGAACGGATAGCTTATATCATGTTCTATCAAAGGTGATTCGCGAGAGCGACGACTACCAAGCTGCCTTCAAGCGTGAAGTAATCGGCAAGTTATTTTAAAACCAATTGGTTCTTATTGTCAAGAACTAAGCTTAAAACGATTATAACCCAAATATTTTGACACAGGCGTAATTGTATTGACGGACTACAATAATAAAACATATCGAGTAGATGATGTGGATTTTGTTTCGTCACCGTTGTCGACGTTTAATACCAAGGATGGCGACATTACTTACATAGAATACTACAAAAAAGTAAGTATGCAAAAGAGGGGAAATCTGGATTTTTGATTGATTTAAAAAATGTTTATTCATTCTAGCGCTACAATATCACAATTCGTGACTACAAACAACCGCTGCTAGTGTCTCGCCCAACAGAGAAGAATATTCGCGGCGGAGTCAGTCAACTTATTATGTTGATACCTGAATTGGCTCGCGCTACAGGCTTGACCGATGATATGCGCTCAAACTTTCAGTATGTAATTGGACACATTTATCTTGTCATTATAAATTGAATCTCAATCGTTTATTATATAGATTAATGAAAGCCATGAGCGAGCACACTAGACTGACGCCTAATCGGCGTATTGAACGTTTGCGCGTATTTAATCAGCGCCTGCAGCAGTCGAAGCTGAGCGCCGAAGTGATGAAGTCCTGGCACATTGAATTGGACACGGCTTTGGTCGAGATACCTGGACGTGTTCTGCCGCCGGAGAAAATTGTGTTTGGTAATGAAAAGCGCTACTTGTGCGATGCACGCGCGGACTGGACCTTTGAGTTTCGCAACAACTCAATGTACAAGCATGTGGACATAAAGCGTTGGTATGTCATAACACCACGTCGCAATCTCCGGGAAGCTCAGGAGTTTGTCAAACTATGTATACGGGCAGCTAATGGCATGAAAATGCATATCGCCGAGCCAAGATAGTATGTATTCAAACCACCCAACTCACCCACAACCAACTCAAATAACAGAAAACAAACATTCGCTATTGTCCAGTGATGAAATGTCAGATGATCGCAATGGCAACTATTCGCAGGCGATCGATAATGCCTTTGCAAAGGATCCACAAATCATCATGCTGGTTATGAAATCACCAAACGAGGAAAAGTAAGCACATTCAGATATTGAGCAGGGATACTTGCTAATCGTAGTCTCATTTGTGTACATATAGATATAGTTGCATCAAGAAGCGAACTTGTGTGGACCGCCCCGTGCCATCACAAGTGGTTACACTCCGTACAATTGCACCGCGTCCTGAAAAATCCGGTGGCCTAATGTCGATTGCAACAAAAGTGGTTATCCAAATGAATGCCAAGCTAATGGGCGCTCCTTGGATGATTGAGCTACCCCTGAAGGGTCTTATGACTGTCGGCTTTGATGTCTGTCACTCGTCGAAGAATAAAAATAAATCCTATGGTGCCCTGGTGGCTAGCTTGGATATGAAATTCTCCGAACGCTACTATTCATCGGTAACGGAGCATATGAAGGGCCAGGAACTCTCCGATCAAATGTCATTGAATATGACATGTGCCCTAAAGGCATATCGTGAGCATCGCGGCACTTTGCCAGAGCGCATTCTATTCTTCCGTGACGGTGTTGGCGACGGCCAGCTCTATCAAGTGGTCAATACTGAAGTTAAATTTCTCAAGGATCAACTTGATAAAATCTACAAATCAGCGGGCAGGGATGAAGGTTGTCGGATGGCTTTCATTGTGGTCGCTAAACGGATTAACACACGCTACTTTGTCAATATGCGCAATCCTGAACCGGGAACAGTTGTGGACGATATCATCACATTACCGGAACGTTACGATTTCTTTTTGGTCTCGCAGGCAGTGAAACAGGGCACGGTCTCTCCAACTAGCTACAATGTTATACACGACAACATGGGCTTAAATGCAGACAAACTACAAATGCTATCCTATAAAATGACGCATATGTACTACAATTGGTCAGGAACGTGTCGGGTGCCAGCCGTCTGCCAATATGCTCATAAGTTGGCCTTTCTTATTGCCGAGAGTATACATCGATCCCCTTCGTCTGGCTTGGAAAATCAACTATACTTTTTGTAATGCTTTCTAATACGATATATATATATAATATTATATATATATGAAACGTCATTTGTATTTAGAAAAGACACTTGCGTCTACAAATTTCAAAGTGCCTGACAGGATTTTAATTTTTGTAACACCTACTAATCGTACATATGAAATAAGCATATGTATTTCTATATAGTGGGATCAGTTGATACGTATCCAAACCCGAAGTGGTTATATAATTTGTATTCAAGTGGACGAAAATATCAAGTCGGAAAGACTTACTCACATGATTGTGCTAATTCTATAAACAATTTATTTAACGCTGACTTGCAATGTATTGATTGTGATTTATATCAATAAAAAATGATTTTGTTTCTAATTTTCATGTATATCTTTAATTTTAGCTGCTGATTGAAAGAGGTATTTGCGTTTGTGGACATTTTCAATATGTCCATTTGACTTTGGTGCGGCACAAGAAAAGCCCAATTAAACTGAACAAAGAATTCAACTATTTTAAACCACAAAGTGTAGGTTGTAAAGTTTACATCAGCGTTTTCTTTTATTATTAAAACTTTTAATTGAAGCACAATGGATGTCATTAAGCTTCCGTCTTCACAACGGTCGTTTTCTCCGACACGTACAGACCATCCAAGAACTTACGAATATCCTTGTTTTTGACAGTGGTCGACTGTTGGATGAGCGCCGCAGAGCCAGAGACAGCCTCAATGTCATTGCCCTCAACGATAAGCTCGTCCTTTTGGGCTGTTGAGTTGACAACTGTCACACCAGGAGCCATCTCCACGCGACGAATGTACTTTTCACCCAAAAAGTTACGGATTTCGATAACAGAATTCTGCTCGGACGTAACGCAGTTGATGGGGAAATGAGCGTACACAGCACGCATTTTGTACTGGAAACCGAACGTCACACCTACAATATGGAAGAATGGGTATATAAATCCAAGTCCTTCAGTTTCTATAGGGTTTTCACCTTACCCTTGATCATGTTCTCAATGTGACTGCACACGGTGCGCACGGCAGCGAGCTCCTTCTTTGTGCCGAACCATTTCTCGACTTTGAGGGTGCGTTTGTCCGACATGTACATGTCCAGAGCCAGATGCTTGAAGCTGCGCTTCAGGGTGCCTCTGGTGCCGGTTATCGTGACCACACGCGCCTTCACGGAGGCTTTAATATCCTTGGGGATCTTGACACACTGATTCGAGTTGATCGTTCGCATTTTGACGACACTGCAAAATAGTAAACAAATACCTCAATTAGCCACATTAACAGAGAATAAGGCTACAATTAAAGGTAACTCGGGGTATGTAGAATGTGTGTTATGGTTGCATTTCAAATACATTTCGCACTTGTAGCTTCTATGAGCATAAACAAAACAATTTTACTGGGTTCCGGTATGTATATTGAAATTGGTATACGGTCCATTTTTGCCGCTTTTGTGATTAAATAAATACATATACAACAAACTTATTACTATGTCACTCATATAACACACTTAGGGATTCATTAAATTCGTTCATTGTGTTGATGTTTTAATATTCATTTTGTATACAAATTATTTGGAAACTTACACACTGCAGACCGACCGGAAAGAGGCTGAAAAAAGAAAGGAAATATTTGACGTTTAGTTTAAGGTTGCCACACCGGCAAATTAATCAGGGATATTTTTGGGAATTTTATCGGTGCTGCCAACCTAATTAACTTTAGAAAACACAACGTTATCGATAGCAACAGCTGATATGTTATACTGCTGTAATATCCATGTTATAAAGTTGTTAACAGCTGCTAGTTTCAAATTTGTGCGTCACTGTAAGGTTTTTTTTAAAGCAAAATGCTTATTGATTCATTTCGTTTTATCTATTAAGCCGAACTGCTAACTGTTATAATCTACTATTATAATCAAGTCGAATTACGTCAGAATGTCCTAGAAAAAAATATTGCCGATGTTAACAACATTTTGGTAAATGTTAACTTAACAGAGGAACGAGACAAAAAATTAATGGCGGGAGCTGTATGGCGTGGGCCGATCTCTCTCTCCAACCGGCGGCAGTTTGCAAATTTTATGTGGCGAAGCGGTTTAACGGGGAACATTACAATTGTGATATTTAAATACTTTGGTTTGTGTAAATAAAGCTTACAAATATGAATAACACAGCGTCGCCACCTGATGTCCTACAGACAGCGGGCAATATGCTCGAGTGTCACGACTTTCGAGACAGGCACAAGCCGGAACTCTTAGAGGTAACAAACGATAGGGCGTTGTTTTACGGCACAAACTAATATTACTGAATAGTTAACAGGCATCAGTCAACATGGGAGAGCAACGATGAGTGGCCTCAACGATTATGATTACCAAACCCTGTCGCAACTGACCACCGGTGATACACATAACCTACAACAACTGCGAACACTAACCAAATGTGGAATACCCAATGAAGTCCTGGAGCACTTCAAGCGTAAATAGTTTGCTGTACGCCAATGATGCGATTGTTATTAATTTTCATTTTAATATAGATATCAAATGCCACTGCATAATGGGCTTGTTTCCGGAAATTGGACGCGCATGGTTGACAATAGATTCGGATATATATATATGGACATATGAGCAGGCTCGAGACGTTGCCTACTACGATGGCTTAAGCCATTTAATTTTGAGCGCTGGCTTAATCAAGCCAAAGGCAGGCGTTCTAATCAACGACGTCAAGTATCTGCTATTGTTGACAACACCCATCGAAGTGATTGTGCTGGGTGTTACATTTGAGGAGCAGAAGGATTCCAGATGCACGGCAGCGAGTAGTACCCGAATGCAGCTGTTAAACAAGCCCCTATTCGTGCTTGGAACAGATAATATATCAATTAATGTCATAGAGGGCACTAAGGATGGACGCATCTTTTTAGGCGGTCGGGATGGCTGCCTTTACGAAATTGATTATCATTCTGAGTCAAGCTGGTTTGGCAAGCGTTGTAAAAAGATAAACCATTCGCAAGGATTGGTTTCCTATATAGTACCAAGTTTTCTGAAAGTATTTTCGGTGAGTTACACAAAAGAAACCCCGCATGGAAACAAGAATTAATACTAATACTCTACACTTTTTAGGAGGTCGATCCTATTGAGAAAATTGTTATTGACAATGGTCGAAACTTGCTTTATGTACTAACTGAGAAGAGTTCTATTGAAGCATGGCACATCGGCACGAACTTTACAGGTGTGCGAAGGCTTGGAAAGATAACACAAAATGATATTGCAAGCCAAGCGGTCAGCTTGATTAAGTATGTGTGCAGACTCTTTAGAAAAGCAAAAGGATAATAATAATTATTTTCAATTTTCATTATGTAGAACTGTTGATCCATCCATATTCAAAAGCGTGAAAGCGATTTGTCCGCTCAGCACAGATAATTCAAATTTCCTGCATCTCGTTGCTGTCACGCAGTGCGGTGTGCGTCTTTATTTCTCTACGACGAGGTTAAATGTGCAACAGCAGCCGCTAAACTGTGGGACTGACAGTTTTGGTGTTCTCCATCCAAATAATGTGCTGCCAATGATGCAGGGAGATATGGAAACACCAAGAGGAATTTACCTACTGCACGTAAGGTTGCCGCCTGGCTACACACCGAATGCAACGACCAATAAACCAAAACATGTGCATGCTGCATACCACAGTGAGGGCACAATGTTGATGGTGACTACGCAGCAACAGGAGCAGGATTTACTATGGTCAGTTAGCTCTGCCCCGTTTACAAACTTTACTTACCTCGTAGAGTCGACGGCATTAGAAGGTCTTGATGGCATCGTTTGGAGCGTGGCAGAAGTGAAAGATCCAATAATGGACAACACAACTTCACTGCTATACAATGCACGAACACCGCGTAGAATCGTCTTGCTAACCAATCAAGGCACCCACATAGTGGAGCTACTCAAGGCCGCTCATATACTGCAGCAATTGCTGCTGGCGTGCAAGGGTCCCCATCACGAGGCAGTGAAAATGTTCTTTCAAACGCAGAATGAACGAGAGGCCTGTGTTACTGCACTCTTATTGGCCACCTCGGAGCAGTTACGTGGCAGTGACATTGCCTTATGGGCCACCCAAGCATTTATGCTGTACGGTGGAGAACCGTGCTATCAACATTTTATGAACTCAACCAACCGTAACTTGCATAATAGTACCATGGGCACAAACACTCTCATGCCGGGCAGAGAGCGAATGCCGCCAATGTATATGTCGACACCCATGCCGAATAGCTCAAACATCGGCGTAATGAGTGGCCAATACAATCAGCCAATTAGTCCTAGTAAGTGCCTCGCATAAAGACAATCAAAATACAGTTATTAGTTTGTATCTTCGAAATTTCCAATTCCAGTTTCGGCTACACAATCCGCCCAACAACAGCAGCAGCACTCGATGCCGAGTAATGAGAATTCTCCCATTTTATATTCTGCAAAACATGATGGCCTCTTTTTGTATGTGTCTCGCATGTTGCGCTCCGTTTGGCAATCGCATTGTGTCGACGAGAATTTGTGTTCAAAATTAACAATTAACGATTGCACTATGCTACTGTCCGAATTACGTTCGTTGCGCTGCTTTTTGGACAAACACTCGGTGCACGATATTTCTGGTAAGCCAAATTTCTGAATCTTCTCTTTATAGGCTTCTGATCAAAAGTTGTTCTAATTTTTAGCCACAAGACGACTGCCGTATGAGAGTCATTTGGGTAGACCGAGTCCTATGATGATGAGCAACGCGCAAATGCCACTAAACGAACATCGCAACCTTACAGAGCAGGCACAGATCGAGGAAAAGCGTTCGCTATCCGCCTTGAATCAGTTTATTAGTAAGTTCTGTCAACTCCACCATATTAAACCATGTTAATATTATTTATAATTGTTCACAGAACATGCCTGTGAGGTAATGTCGCTGTGGAGCATCTTAATTGATCATCAATTTCAGTTGCTTTGCCAGCAATTGTCGCCCGAACATCAGAAAATGTTGAGATGTTGCACATTTCGAGATCTGTTGATTGCGCGCTCTGAAGTGTGTGCTTTTCTGATCATTGCGCTTATCAATTTATATCTCAAAGATAAAGCGGATGTGACAGAAGTGTCCGATAACTTGCGGCAACTATGCCCGAATCTCTACAGACACGAGGATGAAGTGACTTATAAGGCCACCGAAATACTAATGAGCGCCAAGAACTGTAAATCAGCAGCGGAAAAGCAACAAAAACTATCTACAACCTTGCAAATGTGTTTAGATGCAGCTCCAACATTGCCGTTGCATAGTATTTGTCAACAATTCATTTCGGTAGATTTTTACGAGGGTGTTGTTGAGTTATCTGCCACGTGTGCATCTAAAATGGATCCCGAAGAAATTGGTATACATTATTACAATAACAATGAGCCTGCTGAAGATCGGGAGGGTTACACATGCTTTGTCACACGGTAAATATATGGGTCCTAACCAAAAGTGACTGCAACTTCAAGATGAACAATTTTTCTTGCAGTATGAACTACTACAAAGAGGTGCAACTCATGCTGGACTATGCCTATCACACAGTTCGTAACAGTAAAACCGATCGGGACCAGAGTCGTCTCTTTCAACTAAATTGCGAAGCAACTCAGGATCATCACGATATGGAGAACAAATCAAAGCAGATTATTAAAAAGATCACGACCCAAGCACTTCGAATGAAAGATCCACTAATACATGTTACGATCTATGAATGGTTGTTGTCCCACGAGATGAACAGTGAATTATTGGAACTGGTTGAGCCATCGTTGGGCGAGTTCTTGCGGCGCAGTGTTAGCCGCAATCCAGAGAATGTGAAATTAATTGACTTACTTTGGAAGTATTATGAGAAGAACGGACATCATCATCAGGCAGCCCAGATTCTCGATAATTTGGCAATGACGCGAAGCGAAAACATATCTCTGGATGTGCGCATTGACTATTTGGTGCGCGCGGTTATGTGTATGCGCAATGAGACAGTTGGCTCGTCCGTCACCAATGGTATATTTTTAAAGGAGTTGGAGGATAAGGTCAGCATGCCCTACTTATACACCGTGAACTTTTTTGTCTGACTACTTTTTACTTGAATTTACAGTTGGAAATTGCGCGCGTACAAAAAGCAGTGCTTGGTGCAATGAGTTCGATTGTCAACACAAATCCAGCAGCCAGGCAGGCCATAAAGGATTTAAATATTGCGCTATATGATATTACACAATTGTATCAAAACTTCGCCGATCCATTTGACCTCTGGGAATGCCAACTGTCGATACTTAATTGCTCCAATCACAATGATCCCTTGTTAATTGAGTCCGTTTGGGGCAATATTATCAACAGCGCCGTTGATGGCCCTGGCTCGGCACAAGAGCGTAGCATAAAACTATTTACAAAAATTGAACTATTAGTGCGAGAGTTTGGCGAATCCGGGCCGTGTTTTCCATTTGCTTTCCTCATAAGAGAGCTGGAGATAAAGGCCTGTCAACTACAGTTGCCGGAGGGAACAGTGCCAGAAAAGTTGTTTGCCATGAAGCTAGACATTGAGCTGCTTTTAGAATATTACTCCAGGTAAGTGTTTACATTCGTTTAATTCCTGTCTACAGTTTAATCTTTAATGTTTATTTATTTTCCTTAGAATGATCTCGATGAATGAGCGCATTTGGGCGAACGAGGGCAACGAGTGGCACTTAATCCAGTCGGCTATACGCGTCGTTACGCTTCTGGCTGATAATTCTCAAGCTATTTGGTACCGTTCCAAGTAAGTATTTCTGTTTTAATATCTCCCAGCATACAAATATTATAATTATTGTTTCCATTAGGCGACGAATATTGGGGAAGGCACAAGATATAGTTGCGGCATGTTTAAATATCTGCTATCAGAAACCGGACACCAACCGTCTACAGCACTCTCTCAAGGAGCTCCAATGCCGTTTACAACGGCTATTAGGTTAATGCCTCTGGCTGGCGTATATTGTAGTTATTTTCAAATGGTATATTTTATAGATCAAAACAATGGTATAGCTGTTAAGTTTGACTGAGGTATAAAAGATGTACGTGTTATTTAATTGAATATTTCATGTCTTACAAACTGAGCAACTCATACTCAACTCGCATACACTATGTTGTGTCCATCATCTTTAGATGGGCTTCTGTCAGTATGCATTTTGTCATGTGGCAGGAGCAGGGCATTGGATGCTCTTCAACATTGGGATCAAGCAGCTCTACTTCCAAGTTGTATTTCCGCGCATCATTTGCGCTGCGTTTCATTAAAATTTGAAAAGCCACCGGAGATTTCTCTTCTAAAGTTTCACAATTGTCTTCTGGGAGTACTACAACGCACTGTTTCCAATGGGTTTCCGGCGCGAGGGGAGATGTGCTCAGTGCTACAGTTTCCTCACCAGGAAAGCGTACTTCAAACCATATACAGAAACCTTGATGCTTACCCGCAATTTGTGTGGCGACGACTTCCTTAAAACATATCTCATCCAGATCTTTGGCATTGACATCAAGCAAGCTCATCCAATGGAACACGATGCCTTCGTGTAGTAAATCGTTGGATTTTAGTTGGATAATTTCCGGTCTTGTTGATTTTTGTGAACGCAATTTACTGGCAAAGCGCTCCATATTTACTCCGTCAACATTTTGCCAGTAATCAAATAGAGTTGGCACAGAGCATGGCGCCACAAAAATGGTGCACTCACTGGGGAACATAAGTCCATCCGGCTTTAAAAAATGATCTCTAGCAAAGAGCACAGAGTCCAACATGCCTTCATGGAGTAGGTAGAATCCCATCCACTCAGATACAATAATATCCACTTTCTCCGCTGTAGCCGGGAGCACGAATTCCTCTATTTGGGAATGTATTACCTTAACAACGCTGGTAAGTCCATTTTCGTCAATCAGATCCAGTGCTACTTTTGTGGCCAGATTTGAGGCTTCCACAGCATAGACTAACTTGGCACCGGCTTGTGCGCAGAACGCGGAAAGTATACCGGTACCGGCGCCAACATCCAGCACAATTTTATCCTTAAACAGTTCCTTGTTTTTCAGAATGGCATTATAGTACGCTTCTTGTCGTGGTCGATCTCTCAGCATGAGCTCGTGCACCTGCAAATATATAAATAAGAATGCTTTTATAAATTATCAGAATTACGTAGCGCACCAACTGATTACCTCTAAATTTTCATATTCGGTAAAATAGTTATTCATTATAACAGTATTTATTTAGTTTTAATAAATTAAAATACACAAAAACACTCAAAGTGAATTCTTTTTAGGTTAAATGTAATGCTTGACACTGCTGTTATTTAACAGAGCCGCGAAAACAATAACACGTACAGAGCTGTTAATTACAGAAACAAACATTTATATTTAACTTGCAGTTTTCAGTTCTACTGTTCAAACTGATCAACAATTAAGTAGTGAAAAGCAACAAAGAAAATTATTAGCTTCGTGAATAAGATAAAAGGCAGTATTGTTGGAAAAACTCCCTGTTAATAACTATAATCAAAATGTTAAGGTTAAATGTAAACAGTGACAAGGTAGCGGAATTCTATAATGAACCAGTTCAGTTCTTTGGTCAGCCACGTAAATTCCAACATAAACAAATCAGCTTCAATTATTTCATATGTCTGTATTAAAAATTAATTATTACAAATGGAAATGAGTAAATTAAATCTAAACGAAATGTTTAGCGGCTGGGATATTAGTACAACTGAGAAAGTGGATGAAGGTCTGCTGCGTATTGCAGAAAAAGAAGTATGTACTTTTCAGTTTTATAACTGTTATAGAATGACAACAATGGTATCACCCAACAATTTTTAGGCAAAGGTGAATGCCAGACTCGAGGCCGTATTGTCCAAGCAATGTCAGATTGAGGCAAAATTAAGCGGTATCAGTAAGGCTATGACCACATTACTTGCCGTGGAGAACGATTCCAACAAGTTAAATATGCAAATCGTAAACACCGCACAACTGGCTGAATCCGTAAGTGCAAAAGTGCGCCGGCTGGATCTGGCCAGATGCCGGGCGTCTGAGTGCCAGCAACGTGTCCACGATCTGATCGATCTGCAGTTGTGTAGTCAGGGCGTGGTTAAGGCTATAAATGAGGAGGATTATGAGAAGGGTGCAGGACATATCGCCCGGTTTCTAGCAATGGACCAACAGCTATTACAACGCACAGCGGATGATGTCCAGGGGTCCATTACGTCGGTGAGCGATGCTGTACGCACGCTAGAGGATGCCACCGAAAAAATGAGGGAATTAATTTCAAAACGTTTCGATGAGGCTGTCCAACACGATGACCTGGCTTCCGTTGAGAGATTCTTTAAAATATTTCCATTGGTTGGTTGTCACCGCATCGGTATAGAGAAATTCAGTGGCTACATTTGCCAAAAGCTGTCGGCAAAAGCGCAGAAGGAGCTGCGCAACACGCAGGACATTGCAAAGGCCGAGCGACGTCTTCATTTGGCCTATGCCGATCGCTTGACTGCGATTTTGGAAAACTTTGCCCGAGTCGTCGAAGTTAATCAGCCAATTATTGAAGCATTTTATGGACAAGAGTGAGTATACGGATTTGTTTTTGAAGTAAAATTCATGAGTTTTAACTGTCGATTATAGATCTTCATCATTGGTAGATATGGTAACCATATTGCAAAGGGAATGCGATCTTGAAGTCAAAAATTTGCTCCTGGAATTCAACAAAAATCGGCAAATTCAGTACCGCATCAAGCAGGTCAACGACAGCGCTCAGCGACAAAGCGGCGCCAGTATGGCCAACAACAGCATACAGTCTTTGGGACATTATCGAAAGCCGTCGGGTGGTTCTATAGATAAATTAAACCCCAAGGATATAGACGCTATCATAGCCGAAATCACGGTCATGCACTCCAGAATCGAGTTATACTTCCGGTTTATGCGCCGTCGTTTGCAGGTAATCCTTTACGCAACAAGACAAGAAATAACAAACTAAATGAAGACAATTTTAATTACAGACTAATGCTGAGACATGTTTGCAAGATAAGGAAGCACAAAAGCAAATACTAGACGAATACGAGAGGGTTGTGAAGAAGTGCGACTTAAGTCGCCAAATGCAGGAAATTCTAAGCACATACTTACTGTTTGAAAAGTATTTTAAGATGCACATTTACAACATATTTACGCTTATAATGCTAACCTATTGATCTTCAGGTATTTTATGGAGGAAAGCGTTATGAAAGCCATTGGACTGGACACCTATGAAGCTGGTCAGCAATGTTCCTCAATGGTGGATGAAGTTTTCTTTATATTACGCAAATCGATTAGACGCTCCCTGACAACGCAATCTATCAATGGGACTTGTGCTGTTATTAACAATGTTGCATCATGCCTAGATGGCGATTTTGTCACTGCATTGAAGGCGCCTTTAAAAAATGGTTATCCATCTGGTTATATTGATTTAGCGCAAGCCTACAATGCAATACAAACGAGTCTTCAGCAGGGTAAATTACATTCGAGTGATGCTGATCGCGTTCGAACGAATTTCATAGTGCAATTGAATAATGCCGATATGTCGACGGAGTATATTGAGACCCTATGGCAGACGATGGAGCAGGAGATAGCAGGCACATTCCCTAACATATCCCAAGTAGAGCGACAGCTACTAGACAGCTGCTTGACTGAACTCAAAACCATACGCGATGCTTTGAAAGCAACCGTTGACTTTGGCATACAGCAACTAAGGTCGAGTGCGATAAGGCCACGCTTAAATCCTTGGGTTGATGAATTCCTAAACTACAGTCACCATTTAACAGAGGTAACCATTTGCGATACCTATGCTTTATAACTTAATAATTGGTTAAAACCTTTAGGAGGAACTGTCCGCGTACGAAGCTGGTGAAACATTTGTTCAGTATTTCATTGTGCAATTAGATGGACTTTTGAATTCGTTTAAAAATGCATTAAGTTCACGTAATTATGATGCCCTCGTCAGCATATTGGCTACAGAAGTAACCAATCGCTTAGAACGAGCTATTAAGAAGAGCACCTTCAACCGGGTAAAATTGATATTTAATTAATGAAAGTCAGCAACATGTTCAGTAAATTATTCGTTTTACTTTGCAGCTCGGCGGACTTGTTCTGGATCAGGAAGTGCGTGCCTTAGGCACCTACTTAACGGGTGCAACTTCCTGGTCTGTGCGCGATAAGATGACACGTCTTTCACAAATTGCTACGCTTTTAAATTTAGATAAAGTTTCAGAATTGTCCGAGTATTGGAATCCCGAAAATAATTCTGATATGCCTTCTTGGCGACTGACCCCTAACGAAGCACGTACTATTCTGGCATTAAGGTAAATTTAAATATGTGTATGCTTCTGATCAAATTATTTATTTTTGTTCACTTTTGTAGAACCGATTTTCGTATGGATGACATTAAACGCTTGCAGCTTTAAGCAGAAGGCGTTTTTATAAAAATTATGATGCTGCGTTTTCAGTTCTCTTTACGCTAAACCAACGATTGAAATCCAATCTTAATAAGAACTGCGAAAGCGGACCGAAACTGGATGCACTTTTAATGTTAACCAATAATTTAATTAATCCCGATATGGCAATGTTAAATCTATAAAAATATTTGAAAAATATAAACATATATAAATGAAATTTGCTCAGCTTACCGTTCTTCGAGTCTATCAACATTATTTAAATGATCATCGGGCGTTTCTTCCGAACAATTCACGACGCTAAATTTCTCGCAAATACTGAAGATCTCAAGAATTGTTCCATAAACCGGATATTGGGAATGACGTGTTGACTGGGTAAGATTTATTTTTTTGTCGGTTTCATCGGTCAGCAGGAAACATTGTGAAAGAACATTGGCTAGAAAAACTGAATGAGCTCTTTGAATTTCTTCAAAATCAGCTTTACTAGCAATGACACTCATGAGAATACTGAACTGAGCTATAATAAAAAGGAAATGTTAATCTTTATACTTCTGCTGTAATATAGATATTTTACGAACTTACATTCAAGAACATCCACCTGTATGTAATACTGCAAGTTGTCCAAAAAGAACATTAGATGATTACGAAAATTAATAATCTTTAGGTTCACCGGATTTGCGGTTTTAGCGGCCCATTTGTGGCGGGCCCATACAAGCTGAAGATCATATTGTAGCTTCCGAACAGTTAGAAGGAAACGAAACACAGTATTGTATCGTTCCACCGTTGTTGGCGAAAACAAAAGATTCAATGGCCATTTATATATGTATTTGAGATGAAGGTTTTGAAATATGGCAAACTCGCAGCTCTCCTCCAAATCGATGGTAATGTTTTGAACACTTAGCGAGAAATTCTCCAAATCATCAACGATTCCCATTACGTTTGCTGCAATCTGTAACAGTATTATGAAGATATATTATTAAAATAGTTATAACTCTTGATTGTAATGTGCGTACCTCGAAGGCTTTTGTATAGTTTTTAGCATTTAGCTCAGCAAGGTTTTCTGAATTCTCATATAGTTGACGAAAGAATTCCAAATAAAATTCACCGCGTCCCAATAGGTAAAAGTCTTTTATCAGATACAATTGACGATCCAAATCATCTTCGATAACTGCTATTTCTGACAGACGTTGGCTAACGTATTTCTTGATTTGGTTAATTACACTTTCCAAGTGAAATATGTCGATCTTATCATCCTGATTCAAGTCTTCAATCATTTTACAAAACATGCCTTCTTTGCCATCCCAAAGTTCACTAACATCATCACAGAATGATCCAGGCATTTTCATCATCCAAGTGTCATTTTTATGTTTACTTCGGTCCAATTTAAAAACAAGAACCGTTTGACCGACAAATAACACCTTTTCAGCTAAAATAGATGACACAAAGCTGGGCAATTGACTAAATTGGATTTCGTACTGCCATATCTCTTCCTCACTCAATGAACTCTGTACAAGCAAAGAAAGCAAACATTATTATAAATTTAATTTAATTATCAATCTAATTACCGCATGAGTATTGTTGCTAGTCACCGATTTCTCGCTGGCATTCTTCAGACCACTTTCATTCGAGGATCTATAGTTGATGAAGAACTCGGAGTGCTCATCATCTATAACACCGAACAAGAGCCAGTGGGTCAGGTGCGAAAAGAAAGCCAGCTTGACGGGTTTGGATACTCTAAAAATGATTAATTAAATCTTATCATTTGAATTGGATAATTGACATTTACTTGGCGATTATGTGGTCCATACGAAAATCTCCATGCTCATATGCTTGATGCAGGTTTTGTAGCAGCCTGCAGCCATTAAGTTTCTTAAATAAAATACAAAGTATGTTTCTTCTTCGATAAGATATGGAAATTAATCAGCTTACCTGTATTCTAGCATCGTTAATAAGTTTACGCAAAAAGAGTACAACCGTTGAGTGCAGTTCCAAGGCATTGTAGATATATGCCAAAGAGTTGGTTGTATTTTTTTCGGAATAAGATTCCAATTGTAATATTTCATTGTAATATTCCTCAAGCGCACTGTCGATACCTTTGGCAAAGTTCTTTAAATAATAGCCCGAAGAGAATTCTGAAACACTTAACAATAAAATCAACTGGCAAATAGCATTACAACTCGAAATTACCTTTTGCTTCGGTGTAGTCCGAAATGTCGTGCTGACTGACGCCTCCAAAAAATTTCGCAAATCGTACAACTTCACTGACGTTATTTAAGATGCTAACAATGTCCATAAAAATTCTACGTTCACAAGGATGCATAAATTTTTCTACTACCTGTGTTGCCTAAAAAATGATTAATAATAATATAATAACTACACATAGAAACACATGGGCATGTAAACATGTTAGACTCACAAGAAAACTTTGAATACTTATTCCTTTGCGGCTTAAACTCAAGCACGATAGTAAAATATCGTGTATCATTTTTTACAGCTTGCATATAACCAGAAATTAAATTAAATTAGTATTAAAACGCCCGGCGTTATTCGCTTAAACATTTGTTGTCTTTTGTGCGAATGCTAAATAGGCAGGAGAACGTCTGAGATCTATCGATAACACGCGAATTCACAAACGGTCACACATAATCGATAGTGCCTATCGAAAAATAGAACGAAACGATGAGCACATCAGCTGTTACTTTTTGAATTTGTTAGGCGGTAAGCACAATGAATCCAAGTAGCTATAATTGATTAATATATATGCATATCTATGTATGTATATTGATATATATGCACATGGGTATTTATGTAAAACTTATTTTTAAAGGCAATTAGATATTGATTGAAGTCTTGGTGTACTTTACAATGATGATACTCCAGAATCGTAACTTTAGGTTTAATTCCTAGCCCACTTTGAATTTCTTACCAGTAAATCTGCTGAAGCCAGTTGCGAAAGTCAAAGCTTAAGTTTCTTTTCATAAGGAAAGCATAAGCAACAATGAATTTCGATTTTGGCTACACCTAGTCTTATCTGTATATACATAGGCATATAAATTATCCTTTCTGCTTTCAAAGTTGTCAAATTTTATTGTCTTTCGGTGCGACAGTGTGGAGAATTTACACCCTGGACATCGCCGCAATAAATAAAGTTCGTGTGTCCGCCGTGGCTCGATAAGCTGGCCAAAAATGTTAACAAATATGTTTTTTATGGTCCGCTTCCACCTTTGTTGCACCTTTGTTGCCCACATGAAGTTTAAGCTATGCAAAGCACAAAGCCAAACACCTCACGAATGCCCAATGCTTTCTTTGGGCCTGGTTGCCCGTTGCCAAAACTGCTGACATGGGAAAATCTTGCTGAAAAGAGCGAGGCAGGCTCGAGAAAATATACATAAATATTCTTGTTGGTTTTATATGAGCTCAATTAAATTCTCTGCTGCAGATATGAAAAGTGCCTACTGTATATTAAATTCATATTTACTGCATAAGCCCAACAAACTTAAAGGGAGAAAAACTTAATCCAGCAATTACATTTCAGAAAAAACCGCCGGCAATGCACACCAAGAAACTTATTTAATTTCGAACATACCCAATGTGGGGATGTGTGTGTGTTTTTTTTATATTTTAATTACACTCTCGTTAAATAATTCAGCGACTTGAGCGAACCTGTAAGTGCATTAGCCGGGAGTTCCCCTAAGCCCCTCCTGTTGGCATGTGTGCAATTAGGAAGGGTGTTTTTTTTTTTTTTTAGTTGCAGACCAGCAGAATTTCGAATTTATTGCATTTTATTTTGTAACATGAATTTTTAATTTTGCTGCTACGTTAATTAACTTTAATTTTTTACTGCACCAGCCATGGCCCCCATGCAAGTTCCTTATTCCAATAAAGTTTTGCGGCGTTTCTAAAATGCAAAATGAAAATGCACAAGTGCGGACTTGGCCCTTTTGCTAAATACGAGTGCATAAAGTTATATTCGTATGTGCATTATTCCTCGAGTTGATTAAGTTCGTAAACGAGTTTTATTTTATTCATTTGATGAAAAAACTTCGGCCTAAAGAACCCAAGTGCATGTTTATGCTGTTTGAATTAAAGAGTTTCAACGTGGCCGGCAATGTTAATAAATAATTTTATAATAAATAAATAAATAAATAATAAATATAATATATTAAATAATATTAGAGTAAAGTCATTTATTACCTGTTCGTGTTGATGCAAGCAAAAATAAATATCAAAACATCTGAATTTTTTCCATTATTTACCAGGATTATTTCTTTTGAATCGATATCCTTTTTAAGTAACGTGACAATTAACAGTTTTTCTAAGAAACATTTGTAAAATTTATTGATAATAATTAATATATGTATAAGTATTGCACTTATCGAGTATAATGTACTTCATATAAAATTATCTATTTCAATTTCTTTATATATGTATCATATTTTGTTCGACTTTTATCGTCTTCAATAAGTATATATACTGAAGTACGGCACGAGTTTGATTTGTATTTGCTTTCTTAATTTTATGGGATATTAGGTTCCTGTTCAGGTGATTTGGAACCTTCTGTTTGCGAATCTCTTCTCAATTCCCGTGAAATTGTTTTGGATTCTCCTGATTAATGCATATACTTATGTATCTATATAACTAATTGTGTAATGAAAACTTGAAATAGTATTGCATGTCTTTTCAGCTCTTATGTGTATTACATAGTTTGATTAGTTGGCTTGCAGTATTTTGATTTTTGAGATATACATCTAATTTTTCTAATACCAATAAAATTGACTATGAGAAAAACATCTAAAGCAATTTGGGGATTATTTGTCAGTGCATCTATATATGAATATGTATATTAAATATATTTATACCAATCTGAAAGGCACATTTTGTCTTAAATATGATATTTAGAATTTGTGTGAAAAGTTTACGATAATCAATATATGTATATTTGGTCATTTTGGTTCCATTAAAGATTGGTCAATATTAATTGCACTGTGTTTGTTTTGGTTCTTCATTGATTTGATTTGAAGTGCTTTGATTGGGGTCCCGAACTAAGGCATT